GTGGTTTCGACATTCCACCTTTTTTTCAACAGTAAAGTTTTCATACGGCCCCGTTTGCAGAATTTTTGAGTATGTGTTTGCATCTCCATCTGATATTAGTCTTCCGTATATAATTTTGTGCATTTCCAAACTGTTCTTAAAATCTTCTACCAAGATCTCGGGCTCCATTCCAGTAGACGCTCCTAAAAAAATGAGATACTAGTGAATGTCTTGATTCTAAACATCTAACAATTTAATTTTCGAATTAAATTTTAATAAAATAGCAATAAGGTTGGCCCCCTAGCTGTAGTCAGTAATTGTAATATTATTCAACTAGTTTTTCATACTGTACTGAATTTTTTTTTATAAGGACGTGTTAAATTATAAAAACCCTAAAATTTGCATCGTTTTGAGAACTACCAAAGACCAGTACAATGTTTTTGTTTTGCATTAATGACGGAATTCTACTAAACATCACACTTCCTTAGACCAGTTTTTTGACTACAATGAATAATCTCACTTTAGTATACGCACCTGTGTAATTTTTGTAATAAGTAAGTATGATCTTTTGGGTCTATATTCTTATCCTGTGCTAGAGCACAAATGCAACAATATTTATTTTTTAATGCCAAATATAGTATTTTGTTTGTTCTTTTTCCAATAATAGCAGCTGCGCCCGACAGCGAAGAGTAATTTTTTTATATGACCTTTTACCATAGCATCCGTGAGCTATGACATCTATAATGGCAATCCCGTCGGAGTTTACACTACCCGTTTTGATAGCCAGACGGCGCTCTTCTTCAGCAGCCTCCGCCATTGACTTCAGCAATTCATTTTCCCATATTTTATGAACATTTACCATTTTGGATAAAAATATTTTTTTGCTCATAGGAGAAAATCCAATTCCCGCAGACAACTCAGTAAGTTGACTATATCCACACCAAATACAGTACCAGCCACTGCACTAGTATTTAAATCTAATTCATCTATTGGATTATCGTTATTTATTAAAAATGTCATATTGCACATATTACATTTCAGTTTAAATTGAGAAATGAGACCGGTGCGAGTTTCAGATATCAATTGTACTGATTTTAATCCACAATCCAGACGACCATGATATGATACTTCCTGAAGCTGGTTGAAAAATTGGGACACATTTACAATTCTTCTTCCTATGTTAGTGTTCTTGTCTTGAACACTGAAAAATAATGATAATTTAAGACAAGAGATATATAAAGTGTTACAAAGGGGTGGATCATAAGAAGATAAACAATGATGTGCATTCCGCGATTTTAAGATATTCAAAAATTGTTAAGGTTGTTGTGAACTAGATTTTAAACAAAACTTACAAGTGCAGCTAAATATTTAGGCCTATGATTGCACTTAAGTCTTCTACCATTAACATTTGCACACCTGCGTGCAGGTTGAATACAATGTACCTAATACTCAAGATCTGTATAAATACTGTATTCTGGTAAATAAACGTATTCTGTTCTATTCTATTCTACAAATATAAATGTGATAATGGACTTTGCGTACTTTCGAAAAAAATATAAAATATCAAATTTTTTATGTTTTTAGGTACTAACGGTTCAGGTTCAGTAGATAAATTGACATTGGTTGTCCTAGTACATACATCATCGTCATCATTCTCAAAATGAACAGGGGTAGTACTGAAACAAAAGTAATAAACCGAAAATATTATATACATATTCGTAGAAAATTCATATTTTTAAAATTAATGTAAGTACTTATAAAATATAAGTTGGCTACCACTGTAGACGTTATTTTACTCTGTAAGTTGGTACATGAATAAAAAAACAACATTACGAACACAAGAAAACACCTGTTATTTTAGTGGACTGGCGAATAAAGGTCGCTGTGGCTCGCCCGCTCCCATACTAGGAACGGGGTGAACGCATGTGTCGCACGCGCACATCAAATAATGAAACGTTTCATTGAGCCATCCCTGCATAATGCTATTTTGTTGTATACGCGACATCACAGTTATCACAAAAGAAATACTACATAAAGTAAATAATAGTGCCTTACACGTGGTATGTCTCTGTGTACTAGACATACCACGTACTAGACGTACCAGACGTACCATGTACTAGACGTACTACTCTGTGCAACAGGACTCGCCTCGCTAGCTTTTGCAGATTGCCTGAAAATCCAAATAAATATGATATAGTTAATATAAATATGACTTTATTACATTGACATAATAATTAGGTATAATACCACTATGAACAAAATAATGCAAATTTTTACAAGTACATTACGTACAACCATAGAATTATAACATCATATATATGTATATCATATATATGTATTTTTTTTTTGTACATATATATATGTGTGTGTATTTTATTACGGTGATTAGAAGGTACTTACTCATCAGCATCGCTCCTATTTTGCTGTATTTGTTGGGATCTTGCAGCAGCATTTGCATAACGAGAAATACGTTTCCGCGTCAACTTTACTGACAATCGTGATTTACGGCCTTTCTTGTTTATCATTTTTTTTTTGCTTACTATTAAACCAACTAACTAATTGAATCACTTGAGATTAATTTCAAACCAAACAATAAGCATATAAGAACTATCTCGTACGTATCGTGCTCGACAGTAGACAGCCGACCCGTGGCAACGTATCCCACTAACGCAAGCTACGCTGCCGGAGAGGTTTGCAACGTTGCAATTTTACTAAACGCAAACAATAATTTAATTTTTGTTTTGAATTCAATGTGCGAAAGTTCTAATCCGACCAAAATTTTTTTCTCACCTAATGGCTAAATTTGACTTTTTTGTAAGTCAATGCTTTTTTGTTATATTTTGGTTTGATTTCAACGAATTGGCGCATTATATTTACTTATTTACGTATTTTTTGTTTATGATATTTTTTCACACTGTGAAGTGCCTGTCCATAATTTGCAAGCAAATATTTAGCTCGTACTTTAGTAGGCGAAAGTAATTTTTTAGTCCTAAAATTGTTGTTTGTCTTTTAATCAAAACAAATAAAACGTCAGTTTCAAGATAAGTACCATTTAAATAACTACACCAAATTTGGTAGTAAGCAAGTTTGATTTACCCGAGAAAAATATGTCAAAAAATAACCACTAGAGTTTCATTGTAATCCAGTTTTGTATTACCTATAACAATAAGCAATATTTTAGGATCTTCAAGAAACACTTCAAGATACGTGTTACAGGTTGTACCATTTTCAAAGTTCCACGTGCTATGTTATCGCCTAAAAACTTGCACAAAAACACCATATTTAAGCGTTTCGGGCACCCCTTCGCCTTAACTACACCAGGTACTACACTGTACTTTAGTACTGCACCAGGGGGCAAACGCCAGTGTTTGCCTGTTTTTTGGATCTATCCAGGGCTTTTGATACAGTCTCATATAGTATCCTTTGGGACAAATTGGAAAAACGCACAAATACCCCAAGTGAGGTAATCGACCTGCTCCGCTTCTGGTACGCTAATCAAACCAACCAGGTGAGGTGGGTAGGTGCTCTCTCGGATGTGTATAGGTTGGAGTGTGGAGTGAGACAAGGAGGTCTCAGCTCACCTACGATTTAAGAAATATTTATTTTCTCATAAGAATTATTACAAAATTCACTTACATGAGAAATTTCACATTCATATTAGCCAAATATTCGGGCTTTATAGCGTATCCATCACAAACACTTAGCTTATTTTGTAATGTAACTCACTTATAAATTACAAAGACACAAATTAGTAACAAAAACAAAAATTAAATTAAATTCACTAAGACTGCAATTTTGTATACTATCATATAAGAAGGTAGTGGGATGATCAATTCTAATTTTTAAAATGTAGGGTAGAAATTTATTGTTTCCAAACTTAACAGATATATGTTATTATATTTATTTCGTGCTATGATCAAATTTTAAAATTTTGTTTATTACTAGCTGCTACCTGTGACTTCGTTCAACTTTTTAATATTGTATAATTGTAGTAAAAATAATGGTTGTATTTTATATTACGTCTTATTTTTATAGTAAGTTATGGTTATAGCAGGTTATGTTTTTGAGTAATGTTTTTAATTTAGGTTTAGTGGTTTTTACTTTGGTTAAATAGTTTTCAGTTGTTATAGTCTTTTATTTATTTTAGCTTGATGAATGAAAATTATGGGTTATATAGTGATGTAGAAGTTTTTTAAAGGTGAACATTGATTTAGCTTGTTTTATATCCTTTGGTAGTTTATTATATAATTGCGCACCTTCGTACATAATGTTCTTTTTGCCGTAATTTGTTCTTGGTACATGTAGTTTTAAATCATTTGCGCTTCGAAGAATTTTATTTTGTATTTGAAGTTTTTTAGTAAAGCTTATTTGAATACGTATGTCTTTTGATAATATTTTCCGAATCAAGATGCAATTTTTATATACGTAGGTTTTAATTACAGACATTATTCTTGTATTTTTATAAATAATTTCTGTAGGTGCAAGATAGTCATAATTAAATAATCTCTTAATTAGTTTGTTTTGTGCTATTTGCGCCATATTCAGGTTTGTTTTAGCGGCAGTGCCCCACACTTCTACGAGGTAGTCAATATGGGGTTTCACTAGAGAGTTATATATACACAGTCAGGTCATAAGTATTGTCACACAGTAAAAACTTTTCTTTTAGAATGCTGGCCACAAAAAAGTTTATTGAATTCGAATTTCGAATTGTTCATGAAAATAAAAATGTATACTTTTTAGAATTTTACTCATTTTTAAATATGGAGTGGACGCTTAAAGAAGACCGTGTTGTAGTTATTGCGTTGCATCGTTGCGGTTACGCGCCAATTCAAATTTTTGACATACTGAAAAATTTGAATATAACCAAAAGATTCGTTTATCGTACCATCAAACGATACAATGAAGATTCTAGTGTAGATGACAGGTCAAGAAGTGGTCGCCCTCGGTCTGTTAGGACTCCAGCAGTGATAAAAGCTGTGAAGGCGCGAATTCAAAGAAATCCCAAACGTAAGGCTGCCTGTCCATTGAAGCGGAGCGAGCTTGCGGAGCGGGGCGAGCGAGTATTGCGGAGCGGAGTTGCGGACTGTGTCTGTCCATTGACGCGGAGCGAGGCAGCGGAGTAGAGCGAGCGAGTATTGCGGAGCTAGGCCGAGTTCACGAGACGAGTCATTTGAGCGCAGGGCGGCGGGCGGTCAGTTCACTTCGCGAAATAACGAAGAACAGACATGTTATCGACACAAAAGTTGAACTTTTACTACCTTGCATTGCTTGAGGAAGAAGAGTTGGACTCTGAAGAAATAGACACAACATACTATATCAATAATTCTATGAGAAGACATAGATTTTGGTTAAGAAATCATATCAAGTATCGTTCAGTGCACGGTGAATATTACACTTTTTTCCAAACTGCTGATGAAGAAACATTCGAAAATTCTTATAGAGTTTCACGACCTACTTTTCATGAGCTGCATTCTCTGGTTCAACCATATATTCAGAAACACGACTCAAATTTCCGAAACTCCATCAGTAGCCGTGAAAGGTTAGCAGTGTGTTTAAAGTAAGTACTCATTTTAAAATTAAAGGAACTTTATTTATTTTTTAAGTTGACGCCATGATAATATAATTCAAAATTTTAAATTAATATTATTATGCAAATTTGCCATTTCATCCGAACCTGCTGGCTCTAATGCAGGCGTTCCAGTATTTTCAAAGTTCTGAGTTTCTGGAACATCTGAAGCGGTAGCAGTAGATTTATTGATGTTATCTTGTGGAAATATTGAGAAGTGTTCAGTAGTAGCGTTACTTTCGTCAACATGCGAAGTACTTGCAGTATTATTACTGATATTCATATCTATTGACGTTGGTGTTGAGCTTGTAGAGTAACCATAATTATTCGGAGAATACCAAGATTGTTGCAGATTTGTTTCTTCAGCTGTCATTACAGCATTGAAACAATTTCTTTTTATTTGAAGTTGTAAATAATATGGCAACTTTTTTGTTGACGCAGCCAAATTTAAAAAAAATGAGTCTATTTCATCGTGCTTGTCCCTGGCTACCATCATATTTTTAATTTCCATGCGTTCTTGTCTTAAAAGTTCGCGGTTTTCTTGATTTTTTCTCAATATATCTAGGATTTCATCGTTCTTCCTTTTTTTCGATGTGGATGGAATCGGACCAGATGGTGTCGAATTATCGGAGGCAAGATTATTTGCAGTTGATGGCAAGTTACCGTTTGATTCTTGAGAATTATCATCAGTATTCGGCTGATTTGAATTGTCATTTGACGAGTCTTCCAAGGATTCAAAATTTGATGCCCGATCTCTGTTGCACATGTACGGTATAAGAAATGACACGGCGTTTTGATATTTCCACTCCTTGCGTTGTTTTCTAGCCTGTCCACTCCTTGTTGCGTTTTGACGTTTTAATGCATCTCGATGGTTATCTCTAAGTTGTTTCCATCGGCATTTGGCAGTTGTAACTGAAACAATTAACAAACATATCATTGTATTCCACACAACAATATAAAAAAAAATAATGTTAATAACATTTTTAATTAGGTATTTAGTAATAAATATATTATTAAAAGGTTAACTATTTTTTTTGTTTTACAGATATTTAGCAACCGGCCAGTCATTTACGGGGATAGCAGAGAATTTTAGAATTGGATTAAAAAGTGTGTCAAGAATTATTGAAGATGTTTGCGATGTTCTTTGGAACGTATTGCAACCTCTTGTTATGCCAGAACCAACAGAAAACGACTGGAAAAAAATTGCAAAAGATTTTGATGACCTATGGCAATTCAAAAATTGCTTAGGTGCTCTTGATGGTAAGCACGTATATATCAAGGCTCCTTCGAAATCTGGGTCTTCATTTTTCAATTACAAAAAGAGGTTTTCTGTAGTTTTGATGTGTTTAGCTGATGCCAGAAGAAAAATCATAATGGTTGATGTAGGATCTATGGGAAGATTTTCAGATGCAGGAATTTTTGATGACAGCACTTTTGGAAAACGCCTAAAAGAGAGGAGGTTAAATTTACCTCAGCCCGTACCACTTTATCAGGATGGAGAGCCAATGCCATTTGTATTTGTAGGAGACGAAGCATTTCCATTAATGGAAAATTTTATGAGGCCATACCCCCGTGATAGACTGAATTCAGAGAAAAGGGTATTTAATTACCGATTGTCACGAGCACGTCGCATTGTTGAAGCAACTTTTGGGGTACTGGCACGAAAGTGGTACGTGTATCATAAAGATTTCGAATGCAAAATCGCAACAGTTGATAAAATAATAAAAGCAACATGCGTGTTGCACAATTATTTAATTGACCGACAACCTGATTTCCTAAATAATAATGAAAATTACAACGAGCACATGTTTATCTCAGTGGGTAATAGAACAGACACGCATAATTCTAGAAACGAAGCTTATCAAGTTCGAGAAATGTATTGTTCTTACTTCAATAATCAGGGGAAAGTTCCATGGCAAGATACTCGCATTACGTCACGAATTTCAATGAACAATTAGAAAAAAACCACAGATTTCACGCTACACGTAACTAATGTTAAAAGTAAAATAAGTCGAGTGATCAAGTGAAAAGTTATACTAAAAAAGTGTATTCTTAAGTACTTAAAGTGTCTATACACTTAAAGTGTACTCTAAAGTAAAACTAAATACATACTGCTATATTTACTTACCGTCTTTTATGTTCGCTTCATTAATAATTACATTCCATGCCGCATCCTTTGTTTCATTACATTTATAAAATTCGGAACTCGTGTCCCAAAGGCACGGATACTTTTTTACGCCTTCGATGAGTTTTTCATCCATTTTTAAATGCAACAAAACGCACGCACGTACTGGTCGAACTTCAGCGGCATACTATCATCATCCCATCCCCCGCCCGAGCGAGGCCGGTGCCCCACCCCGCCGGCTCGCTCCGCTGCCCCGCACCGCTACCTCGCTCCGCTTCCGAAAATGTATGGATGTTTAAACTAGCTCGCAAATCTCTGTCCTCTGCAGTTGAGCCGAGTTTTTATGCAATCCTATTGGTTAATATTTATCCGTTTCACCGCTCCGCAAGCTCGCTCCGCTTCAATGGACAGGCAGCCTAAGTAGACACTGTTGGCCCTTCAGATGGGGTTAAGCAGAACCACGGTGAAAAGGGTGTTAAATGAAGACTTAGGGCTTCGGGCATATCGAAGAAAAACAGGACATCGTTTGAATGCTCGTCTAATGGACCTGAGACTGAAGAGATACCGCGCTTTGTTGAAGCGGTACGTGGGAAAAAAATATCGGGAAATTCTTTTTTCAGATGAAAAAATTTTTACCGTAGAAGAGAGCTACAACAAACAAAATGATAAGGTGTACGCACACAGTAGTGAAGAAGCGAGCAACCGTATTCCGCGTGTCCAACGAGGTCATTTTCCATCCTCGCTCATGGTATGGTTGGGAGTTTCTTATTGGGGCTTAACAGAGGTACATTTTTGTGAGAAAGGTGTAAAAACGAATGCAGTTGTGTATCAAAATACAGTCCTGACGAACCTTGTGGAACCTGTTTCTCATACCATGTTCAATAACAGGCACTGGGTATTCCAACAAGATTCGGCGCCAGCTCATAGAGTGAAGAGCACACAAGACTGGCTGGCGGCGCGTGAAATCGACTTCATCCGGCACGAAGACTGGCCCTCCTCCAGTCCAGATTTGAATCCGTTAGATTACAAGATATGGCAACACTTGGAGGAAAAGGCGCGCTCAAAGCCTCATCCCAATTTGGAGTCACTCAAGACATCCTTGATTAAGGCAGCCGCCGATATTGACATGGACCTCGTTCGTGCTGCGATAGACAACTGGCCGCGCAGATTGAAAGCCTGTATTCAAAATCACGGAGGTCATTTTAATTAAACTTTAGTGTCATAAGAATCTATGTTTTATTAAGTTCATTTTGGTATATAAATGGTTACATGATGAATAAACTTGTTTCAATTATTTTATATTAAACATGTGACAGAATTTATGACCTGACTAGGTAGTATATCGTACTCGTATCGGGAGACATCTTATTAAGCCGCGTAACATTCCCATAAGGGACAGCAACTTTGTTTTAATTTTTTGTAACTGCGGTTTCCATGTCATGTTACTGTCTAATATAAGGCCAAGGTACTTTTCCTGGTATACTCTATTTATAGGTAAAGTATTTATTGTTAGTGGTAGGTACTGGGGTGTTCGTTTGTTCTTAGCAGAAAGCAAGATGTAGTTGGTTTTTTTGATATTGATTGTGAGGAGATTGGTTTGAAACCAGGCATTAAGAACATTCAAATCATTCTGGGCGTTAGATATAATGGATTCCAACGAATTTTCAAAATAGAACAAACTGGTATCGTCTGCGTATAATGTTACATCACCTTTTAGGCCTATTTCGGTTATGCTATTGATATAGATAAGGAAAAGCAATGGTCCTAAAATTGATCCTTGTGGAACGCCATAAGTTATAGTCTGTGGGTTACTTTGTACGTCACCAATTTTAACTATTTGTTTTCGGTTATATAGGTATGACCTAAACATTTCATGAGCAATCCCTGTAATACCAACATTTTGTAATTTCTGTAGCAGTAGGTCGTGACTCACCGTGTCAAAAGCTTTTTTTAAGTCGATAAACACGCCTAATACCAGTTGTTTTTTATCAATACTAATTTTAATTTTAGTAACGATATCAATAGTTGCTGATAACGTATTTGACTTCGGTCTGAAACCATATTGCTTCTCGCTAAGAAAATTTATAGAGTTAAGAAACGTTATGTGCCTCGAATAGAGAATTTTTTCAAAAATTTTTGACAGTATTGGGAGAACTGAAATCGGACGATAGTTATCCGGGTCGGATCTACTGCCCGCCTTAAAGATAGGAGTTACTTTGGCCATTTTAAGGTTGTCTGGAAAAATTCCGTTCTCTAAACAGTGATTTATACAATTTGTTAATTCATGAATTCATGAATTGCATTGTGCCTGGTGTGATCTCTGTTTTTATTTTAAAAGTTTTTAGTTTGTGAACGTGTAGTGTTTTTACGTTAGTTTGTTTACGTTTGTTATAAATTTATTTTAATTTTTTTTTTCTTAGTTATGAATTAAATATCCTTTGTTTATCATGGAGTTACCTATTCTATATTAGTCAACCGGGCGGGACAGGTATTTAGATAATTATTACTATTTTGTTTTAATTTTTTTTTTTTAGATATTGTTACGTTATATTCCTTTATTTATTATTTATTTTAGAGTTATATGTCTGATGATGATACTTTTTATTCCGCTTGTGACATTAGTTTTACCTCCACAGCTAGCTCTTACTCTCAGTCTGAACCAGAAACTTTAAGTACCCTACTGCACAATTCACTTAATATACCTCATTGTTTTAATGTCTGTCATATTGCAAAAAAGCGATACGGAAAGCTCGCTTCGGCCATATTAGTCGTATTGGGGTCAGGTTAGCTTCATACCCATCAGGGAGTAAAGCATTCTGGTCACTCGCTAAATCGGTCGAAGCGAATTTCTGCAGGTCATCCCTTCCGCCTTTAATGAGAGATGACGGATCGCTGGCTCATACCGCTGAAGAGAAAGCAAATCTTTTTGTTTCTCTTTTTGCTTCCAACTCCCGTCTTGACGCTACTTTGCAAACACCACCTACACTACCTCGATGTGACTCGGAAATGCCCGAAATCACTATCCGTCAAAAAGAGGTGTTGAAAGCTTTACGCAAATTAGACGTCAACAAAGCCAGTGGCCCTGACGGAGTCCCAGCGATTGTCCTGCGGAACTGTGCACCCGAGTTGTCTCCGGTGTTGACTCGCCTGTATCGCCTCTCTATGAGTTCTGGACAGGTCCCGAAATCCTGGAAGCTTGCAAATGTACAGCCTGTACCTAAGAAAGGTAGCCATGCCGACCCATCTAATTATCGACCTATCGCAATCACCTCCATACTCTGTAAGACTATGGAGCGTGTATTGAACAGCCGTCTCCTTGGATACCTCGAAGATAACGATCTCCTCAGTGATCGACAATATGGTTTTCGCCGTGGACGATCTACTGGGGATCTTCTTGCGTACGCCACACATTTATGGAGCGAGGCTGTCGAGAAACGCGGTGAATCGCTTGCCGTGTCTCTCGACATATCAAAGGCCTTTGATAGGGTTTGGCATGATAGCCTGTTAAACAAGCTTCCAGCTTACGGAATTCCTGTTGGCTTTTGCACATGGATAGGCGATTTTCTGAAGGATAGGTCAATCCGTGTAGTTGTAGATGGTTACTCGTCTGCTCCTCATGGTATAAATGCCGGTGTACCTCAGGGATCTGTCCTCTCCGCCACTCTATTCTTGCTGCATATCAACGACCTGCTGCTGATGCCCGGTATCTTTGGGTACGCAGACGACAGCACTGTGGCGGTGAGTTATGTGCCAGACGCCCGAGACAACAGTGAAGAGATCCGGTGTAAGCGAGAGGCGATGGTCACCCGGTTGAACCTGAGTCTGAAAGCTGCTTCCGACTGGGGAGATGCTAACAGGGTCAGGTTTAATGCGGCTAAAACACAGGCGTGTCTTTTCTCATCAAAACGGAGTCCCTTACACCTTACTCCGACTTTCCGAGGTGTATCCGTGCCGATAAGGGACCACCTTGAGCTACTTGGTCTGGACTTATCATCCAACCTCAACTTTGGGCGATACATCGAGTGCTTGGCAAAAACTGCTGCCAGAAAACTAGGCATACTTTTCAAGGTCAGGCGGTACTTCACACCTGAACAGCTTTTAAATCTGTATAAAGCACAAGTTCGATCCTGTATGGAGTACTGCTGCCACCTTTGGGACGGCTCTGCCCAATACCAGTTAGCTGCCTTGGACTCGGTGGAGCGTAAAGCAAAGAGACTTATTAACAATAATACTCTTGTGGAGTCGAAGCTCCAAAATCTCGATCATCGCAGAAAAGTAGCCTGCTTGTCGGTTTTCTATCGGATACATTTCGGGGAGTGTGCGCAGGAACTTTTCAATTTGGTTCCGCCCTCACCGTTCCTCCTTCGGTCGACTAGAAGGTCCGGAGCACTCCATTCTTATGTCGTTGATATTCCACCTATTCGCACTAAGCGCTTTGCCTCCTCCTTTCTGATGCGTACGGCAAAGGAATGGAATGCTCTACCGGCATCTGTATTTCCCGAAAAGTACAATTTGGGGCTATTCAAGGCTAGAGTGAATAGGCATTTTTTAGGCAAACGCGTCCCATCGTCGGTCACATCGTCGCTTAACATCAGGTGAGATTGTGGCCAAGCGTGTGTCTATTATATATTAAAAAAAAAAAAAAAATATTAATGCACAGAGTATACCCTCTCACTACGCTCACTTCCTTGAAACTTTCTCATCTCCAACTTCTACTATTCACGCCATCTTGGTTTCAGAAAGTTGGTTGAAACCTTGTCTTTCTTCTCAGTCCTTTTCCCTGTCTGGGTATTCTCTAATCCGGAATGATCGTACTGGCAGGAGGGGCGGCGGTGTTGCCATCTACTTGCGCAGTGACATTCCTTTTAAGTTACTTTTATCGTCTTCCTCTGCCTGCTCTGGTTCTGCAGAGTACATCTTCTTGGAGATTGCAGTTAAGGGTACTATAGCGGTTCTGGGTGTAGTCTATTGTCCACCTTCGGCAGATTACTTCATGCAACTTGAGTCCGTTCTTGAACCACTTTGCACTGATTACAAACATCACATAATTATGGGTGACTTCAATACGGATCTTCTGTCTAACACTCCGCAATCCACTAAGCTTCTTAATATTGTCAAGTCTGTGAACCTTTCAATCTTGCCATCTGAGCCTACTCATCATAACCCCTCTTCCAATGATA